TACATATTTAGGAAAAAGTATACATTTAAAATTAGGCGGCTTTGCCGCAGATTACAAAATAAATAAGTCAGTTTTGGATCGAAACGGAAGAGTAAATTAGCCTTGGGTTAAGGCAATAATTACTGTTGGAGTAAGCGGATTACGATCCGCTAAACTCGTACTTGTTCTAAGTATAGAACAAAAGGTCGGTGACCTAACTTACGCTTTCTCAAAGCGCAAAGCTACGGAGGCCCCGCTGCAAGTGATGGGTGACTCGAACTATACATTTTTGCGCCATCGAACCTATTACACGTGATGGAAAGAGTCACAAAGTCTCATTATTCACACCCAATTCTGGGCAAGGTTCGTACGAAAAATCCGTGAATGTCTACCGTTTGCAAAACGCGACTACCGTTGCAGACTTGCTGAAGATACGTGATATGCGCTTTCGAATTGCCCAGTTGACCGCGCAGGATTGGGTTTACCCCGATTTCGAAGATGCTCGTGAGGCACGCGCGGTTACTAGTCGAATCCACGACGATAGGAAGAGAGAGATGAGGATGGGAAATATCTCCTAAGCGAAGTCCATCTTTGGACCTGCGTTCGACGCAAGAATGCTATCGCCGCAGGTGCAACGAAGACGACTACGAGGCTCCCGTGTTTTCTCTTTCGCTGGATAATCCAGCCATTTCACCAAAATCCCCTTCCGATCGCGTACGTTCTTCTCCGCCGCCACGTTCTCAACATGGTAGCATCGATTTTCGTATCCATCAAGAAGAGAGGGAGATGCCTGAAGAAGGCGTCTTCTCTGCTTTTTCTGCGGCTGCTTAACAGTCTTCGTCTGACTTTAATTGCGATGGGCTAAGGTGGAAAAATTCCTTTTCGGTGTGAACTGGCAGATGACCGAGTTGTTCGATCGGGTGTCGAGCGCCCGAAAACGCGTGAAAGTATCTCAAATCGTTGTCTGCGATGTTCGCGATCTCGAATGGCGTCATAGACGTTTGCCTGAAAATGCAATCTCAATTTGGCGACTGGAGCATGCTCTGAAGTCTTCCTCCTGCTGCGGCTACTGCTGCTGAAGATGCGGAGCCTCCTGCTAAGCGACCTCATTGTGTCTCGGGTGGATATGCTTTCCGAAGCAATCGGCGACACCATTTGAACCATCTGCTTCCGTGAGTCGCCTTAATTTTTATAGGCGATTGTACGGAATTTACTCAAAAATCGGAGTAGTATCAGCTGTGTATGCAATTCATCTAGATTATTAACTCCGTGGTGCTTCTACAAAAATTACGAAGTTAGCAGTAAAAGGCTGTCGACATTGCAGCGATTGATCATAATTCCAAATCGTCGACGTTCCGACTCTCGCGATCGTTTATTCGGTTCCGAAGTTCACGATGATCCATGTTATCTTGAGGAAGATGCTGAGGCGACGGCGCCAAGGGGCTCGACTATTGACCCTAGGGTCAATGCTGTGGCTCTGAAGCC